TCAGTTGTAGGATTTGCAAAATCCATTGATGGAATAGATTGTTAGACTTTTAATGAATCATCTGACAATAAAATATTTGTAAATAATATTAATTTTAAGAATGAGAATTGTGTTACCGAGAGGCATTTTTGAAATAGATTGCGCACAAAAATGACTTAGTTATAAAGCAATTTGAACTCATAGGGTTAAAACATGGCACATATTGTTCAAGCCAAAAACGTTTTGCAAAATTTGTCAAAAACATAAAAGAACGCTAAGCAAATCTTTATTAAATATTCATATTTCATTATTAGGATTATCTTTAGCTAAAATTTATGCATAATTCATGAGGAGTATGAAACAGCATTCAAAAAAAAATTTTATATTATCGGCACTTTTGAACAACGAGCCATATTTTGAATCTCTGTGATTGCTTTTTAAATGTCTTATTTTCGTGCGCAAGCAATATTAATAATTTTAGAAAGTAACACAATTCTCACAATCAAAATTGTCATTGTCGGCGATAATTTCACTGTCAGATAGACCATTGGTCCAACTAACTATTTCTAACAAATGTTTTTGCAGATCTTGAAAGCAGATGTCTTTAGTGACGTTTTCCAAACTGTTCAGTTCTTTTGTTAGATCTTGTAGTAGTTACGCCATTCTAATTACCCTAATCCCTGCTAATAAACTGATGTCCTTTTAGTACTCAATTATAAATAGGAAGAGTTAACAAGAAGGTAAGAACATTGCATGGTTTACGTATAATTTCACATTCCGTAAATATTTCATAAAAAAAAACATATAACCAAGTTTTCACAGGCTTATGAAAATGATGAATACCTTTGGGAGAACTAAAGATCGAAGGTTGAGATTGATTTAATTGATAGTGATCAGATTGTTTTGGACACTGAGGCTATTGTAAAACAAGCTAGATCAATCAGTGCACGATTTATTATTTTTCTTTTATATTAAAGATTCGGTGATCATCGAGTTTGACTTAAACCCAATACAAATTTCATCTTAGTGTTCTGGAAAAAATAAACTAAAAAGTTTGGTGTTAGCATAGACAAAAAGATACGACAGTAATTTTATGTTTGTGAGTGTGTGAGAAGTAGCCACAGTTTTTAAGAGTAGCTGCTGCGCATGCGTAGATATCAAAAGATAAATTGACCTGATTCTTATCAATGCAAAGTACATGCGAACATTAAATTTTTCAAAGGTAACAAAACGGCTCAAAGCAAATAACAGAACAACTGGGCAACACAAGCCTTCAAACTATACAAAAACACGATGGCAACTTCAGCCATTTCTTTTTGCTTTTGTCCTCAGTAAAGTACGTTCATTAATTCCTGCATAAAATATTTTCCGTAAAATCAGAAAGTAGGCCTAGCGAGATATCTTTCGAACAAGCTAAGCAAACACTACAAATTAAAATTTTTCGTAAACAATCGCAAATGACATTGGTAAAAAGATGTTACAGAAAATATCAGACGATTGTGCACTTTGCCTTTACCATGAGTGCCATGAGATAAAGACAGAACTATAGACAGACAGACATCATCTGTGCAAAACGTTCAGAACTTACGTTTACTACATAAAACGATTACAAGTCATAATTTCTTGTTGATTAAAAATTATTCTTGTATTTTCATCATAGAACTTAAGAGCGTGTAAGGATATTTAAAGGAAAATAATGGTGACGTCATAGACATGTTATTATTAGTAAATTAAAAATTATGTTTTATTTGTGTTGATACAGCTTATGGCATAATACGTACATATGTGCATTAAAACCCAATAAATCACTGAGTACAGATTACACAGGTCAGTTCCTTTCCATGAATATATGGTGGACAAGGTAAAGCAACAACACAACAATTGCCTTTAACAAGACACAATTATGCTTCATTTGCATGAGATCCAAGTATATTGCTTCTTTCTTGCCATCAACACAAATGTACTAAGATCGCTTGTGTTCATGATGTGCAGCCATCAAATAACCTTTGTATTCCATAGTCCACCCTGAACTAATGAATACGACTACTTGATTTTTACAAGAACTTAGGTTATTATACAAAGGTCGATTCGCGTATATTACGTCGAACATTTACAGTTATAAAGAAATATAACAGCCCAGTTTTACGTTCTGAGCGCATAAAAAATTCTAATGAGAATATTTAATAAAATTCTTATGCCTGATTCATACGAGTAAAACAAACAAAATCAAAAGCGTTAACAAGATTAAACAACCACATTCATCAAAGCATTTGACATAGGCGTAAGGGACGAGGGGAGCCGCTTTAAAAAAGTTTAATGATTGGTCGTGTGAATTGTCAACATTAGCAAGTCGGGCAAAAAGACAAGTGATAAAGAAGTTATGACGTGAAATTTGAAGTCAAGAAGTCTGTTGTTTGATTGTGAGTTGACGCAAGTATAAGGGAAAGACTTCATCTTAAAACAAATAGAAAGCTGATTTCTTAGTATTTTAGACCATTAGAAAATATTCAAAATAGGAAACAAACATTTCTCGCTCAAACATTCTTATTTTACTTGTTTAAACCTATACTGGTTGTAGCTAAATCATGAGTCGCAATTACGTAGATTTTCTGATTAACTTTCATAGTTTCTAATTTGTTTATGGAAACAAATGCAAGACTGATAATTTAGTCTTAAAAGATCATCTGACTTCCATGTTAATATACAACTGAGTTGTTTCCTCTGGTCTGAGATTATATGACAACAATGAATGTAATTAGTATCTATAAAGTTTATTAACTGACTTGTGTCCCTATTTTTCATCACGTAACTGGTCTTGTTTGTCAGGTACCTGACTTTTTACCATACCTATGGTATAGTATACAAACCCTCTCAGTATTTGCTAAAAGGATGTGCAAACTTTGTTGAACTTTCGAAAGAACTTTCTCCGTAAATTGCCTTTCAATATTTCAATAGCAATTGCGTTACTTCAATTGAGCAGAACATCCGGTTTGACTGTAAAATGATGATCACAAATTATCTCGTCCAGATAATTTGACTTCTATGTTTGAAATAGCGTAGCTTGGAGCTTGGTCATTTTCGACAAAAATGAAAATTTTCTCCATTGTGCGTGCAATCCTCAACCATGTCCCTCTGTATTAATGAGTTTATAGTTAACAGAAAAGAAGTTAAGCAAAGGAGGATTTTTCTTTCAAGTTTCTATAACTACTAATGATGTCAAAGTCAGTGTGGATTTTTAAAAAAAGATTGAACATGACAATGAAGTTTAAAGCTGTGGGTAATGAATAAAATAAAATACTTGCTATTAGAGAAGCCTTTGCGTTCAAGATTAACTATGAATTAATTGCAATCACAACTGAATCGTTTGCAATGTACTTCTATTCCATAAAGATATTATTCAGAAAGTAGCAAAAACAATGTATAACATTATTTTGACCGTTTTCATCAATTAATTTCACGACATTGCCATCTATTCATCGATTTAAGTTACCCACATGTACGTTATGCGTACCTTTTTTTAATTTTACTTTTATACATGCAAAATCTACAGCTGCTTTTTTGTTTCATTTGCAGCGAAAACAGGAGATGCTTGTGAAAACAACCCTAGAGTCATTTATCTGGAAGTCGGTTTGAAAAATGAACAAGTATCTTCATGTTTTAAACATTTTTTGGAATATGTGCAAGAAGAAAAACAATTACAGCAGTTTTTTGTAACATTGCAGTGTTATGGAAAAAGGAAAAAAGACAGATTGAAAACATTTAACCATTTTCGTAATAAATACCCAGAATTAGTGACGTATGTACCTTTACAAGATGATGACGTCATGACAGCTTGCAACAAGCAGCATCCAAATTTTCTTATCAACATTCTTTTGAAGATAATCGTCTCTAGAACTGGTGATGTTAAACCAGCATTTGCTATGCAGGCCGTCATACCAAAAAAACATGATAACGGTAATTTTCTTAAGAATATGCAAGCGAAATTCACTGGTTTGTTGAAAAGTGTAGGTATAGAAAAATCAATTGAGGTAATACTCCTTACCATGACAGAATAAATGGAGGCGAAGTAGCCGTTTATTTTCCATAAATTTGTCATAAAAAATACGTAGATAAATCTTATTAACATTTTGAATTTGCCCTAAAAAAGGCAAGGTTATTCATTAACTTAATTAGTGTAGCTACCATGGGACAAACTTCAAATCACTTTTAACCGCAACGTTTTATAGAAGAGAAGAAAAAGATGAAAGTAAAGTCTCAAAATTTAAACGTGTGCGCAGACCTTTACGTCCAAGAGAAATTTCATCTGCGGTCTGTGCAACTTTCTGCGCCTGTTTATTTCCACACTGAAATTTAAATGCGTGACTGCAATTGGGAGTGATGTAAGGATTGCTTAATTAAGTGACGATATTTTGTTTTCCATCACCATTTCTACTGCATGTTAGTTTCTAAATTTTGGGAAAAACGACAAGTTGTATAGTTTTGCCATTTCTGCACACTTTGGTTTTCGAATCCATCAAATTTCGATCTGTTGCCTTTGAAAACAGCTTAAAGGACAGGACTGGAAGACAAGTTAACAAAATTCTTCAAACTATACAAAGAACACGCTGAGTACTTTTCTTTAGTTGCGGCTTTTTTTGGAAAATTGGTATTTTGTCCTCGTCGCATTACCTTAAATAATCCTTGCTTAAAATACTATCCTTAAATCTGAAGAAAAAAGGCGTAACAAGCTTTCCCCTAGAACAGGCCAACCAAATACTGAAAAGTAAACTTCTGCATATCCAATCACAAGTGATGTTGGTATAAAGTGGTTACAGAAAATACCAGACAATTATGCACTTACCATGAGTACCATGAGATAAAAACTGAATTATGGACAGACGTCCTCAGTGCAAAACGTTCAGAACCTACGTTTACTACATATAAAGAAAGCACGTCATTAATTGTTGGTGATCAACATTTCTTCTTGTATTTTTATCATTATTGAACTTAAGTGCATAAAACATATTTAAAGGAAAATAATGGTGACGTCACTGATGTGGTTATTAAATAAATTCAAAATAATGTTTAATTAGTGTTACTAGAGATAATGCCAAAATACGTACATTTGTGCATTAAAACCCTTAAATCATTGTGTACATACTACACAGGTCAGTTCTTTTCCATGAGTATATGGTGGACAAGGTAAGGCAGAACCACAATAGCCTTCAACAAAATACAGCAATGCTCCACCTCTATTTGCATGAGATCCAAGTATTGCTTCTGGCTTGCCATCAATACAAATGTATTCAGATCGCTTGTGAGTATAATGTGCAGCCATTAAATAACCTTTGTATTCCATAGTCCATCCTGAAGGGCAGATATTGCGCGCTGGAATCATCATTTTACTACCACGTGACTTAGCATGACATACAGCACATGGAGCATCTCGGTTGTGTAAGTTTGGATTTGGAAAAATATGTTTCTCAGCAGAAGTAATCTCGTATTCAGTAACATAAATGATTGCGTCACTTTGAAGACCAGCAGCGTGTTTTTCGTATATTGGATTCAACGGTAAACAAAGATAATTTGATCCACTCCCACCGTGTGAATAATACGATCCTCCGATTGCTCCTGTTTTCATAAAAATGTGTTTTATAACTACAACTAATGAATACGACTACATGGTTTTTACAAGAACATATGTTATGATACAAATGTCGATTCGCGTATATTGCGTCGAACATTTACATTTAAAAAGAATATGACAGTCCAGGTTTACGTTCTGAGCGCATAAAAAATTCTAATGAGCATATTTAATAAAATTCTTATGCCTGATTCACACGAGTAAAATAAACAAAATCAAGAGCGTTAACAAGATTAAACAACGACATTCATCAAAGCATTTGAAATAGGCTTAAGGGATGAGGGGAGCCTCTCTAAGAAAGTTTGATGATTGGTCGGATGAACTGTCAACATTAGCAGGTCATGCAATATGAAGTCAAGAAGTCTGTTGTTTGATTGTGAGTTGATGCAAGCATAAGGAAAAGACTTCATCTTAAAATAAACAGAAAGCCGATTTCTTTGTATTTTAAACCATTAAAAAATACTCAAACTAGGAAACAGAAGTTTTATCGCTCATACATGCTTATTTTACTTGTTTAAACCTATACTGGTTGTAGCTAAATCATGAATCGCAATTACGTAGATTTTCTTACCAGAATAAATCTCAACAGTTTTCGTTGTTTTAGGACAATGTTTTCTTCCCCATCTGGTATAGACCACTCCACCGGTTGACGTGGCTTTACTTTTAGGTCCTGGTGGACCAGCTGGACCAGGTTTTCCCTGCTTACCACGAGGACCTTATAATATTTAACTTTAATATTAGCACCTTTGACTATATGAAGCCTAGACAGGAATAGTTTTCTAATGTCCGTTAGACACAGTGAGAAAAATGACTTTTAGAAATTACTGGGCTTATAGTAACCCATTGGTGTCCAGACAACCACAATTTGTAGATCGTGGGGTTCCCTTACATGAAGGACACTTAAAAATTGGCTTTTTACTTGAACGTTTGTCATATATGAATGAATTCCACTTTTTTGCAGGTGTACTCATTTTTTAAAATCGACAGATTCCTCTAACATGATACAGTTAAAAACTGAATAAAAATGTCTAATATCAAAAAGTTTCATTACAGGTTTTACTATTGTAAATGATCACATTTTGAGTATGAAACACGTTAATCTTTTAAAAGCTTCCAGCATAAATTCTATGTCCCATTAGCTAATTAACTATGTCCATTAGCTATTTAACTACGTTTGCTTCTGGCATTTTAAGATGTTTTCTGATTTTTTCTCACAGCAAAATCAGGGATGTATTGCTATCGCTAATTAAGAGGGCTCTTATTCATATACGCATGTTATGAATCCGTAGATAATACATTTCAAAAGATATTAATTCAGCATATCATGCATATATGAATAAGAGCCCCCAATTAGCGAGAGCAATAAGCGATTGATATTGTTTATTTATAACGCCTAGAGACTGTTTAACAAGGTTATCAACTTTTGAAAGCGTCAAATTTTTCATAATTTCATAACAATATTTATGATTTTTCTTATATCATTCATTTTTTTGTGACGAGCAAATGCAAGTGTAAAGAGATTATTGTGTTATCTATAAATATGATTATTATGCTATGTCATATAATCACAGTGGTTCATAGGTTTTGTGAAATGCAAGTTTTGAAAACTCGTGTTTGTTTATTTCGATGTATTGTTGGTGTAATCAATTTCTTTGCATTGCGTTTATTGTTTGGCCCTTCTAAAAAATAATCTCAAAAAGGGTGCAACTTTTTCAAAAACCAAGAGCACAGGCAATCTATAATGTCACAAGTCATGTAAATGTTTACATTTAGTCATATAATATCAAACAAGTCAGAATAACTTTCGCACTTTAGCGATAACATTATGCTTTGGCGAATATAATTATAACACGTCTATACTAAAGCGTAAATAATAAAACTAATAAATCATTAAAAACATTCCGCGAATAAAAATGCACAAAGATTTGAATAACTTATCCATTTCTTTAACACAATCTGCTATCACACAAAACACGACAAAAGGAAAATGCATGTATAAAGTTCTGACCATTTCAGAAAAGAGCCTGCTATAAAAATCTCTAATAGATTTTTTACGTTCCGTTTGAATTAAACATCTAAGTAATTAGAATCCATAAAATCAGGATCTGGACTAGTAAACGGCACGCAGCCAAAAGGGTAGTGATTTATTTTATACGAGTTTATAAGCTATTATGTCAAAATCGATCAAATAGTTTATTTAGCTGAGAGGGGTATAAGAGTTAATAAAAGATTTAACGTAGTTTCCAGGAAATACATTTAACCACACTTGCACTACAGATAAAAAAGAAAATAACCTCTGTTAAAAAAAACTCACCACGCAATGAAGCATCTCTGCCATCACGCCCTAAATTTTAAGGTTATTTTAGAAAAATTAGATTCAGTAGTAATAGAGCTACGTTGTGGTAGTAAACATTCTCTTAAAATATTTCACAACTTCAAAAGTAAAGAATGTTGTATAACTCACCATCTCTGCCTGGAAGTCCTGGAAGTCCTTGACAACTTGTTACTTTGCCATTCTGTCTCTTAAAAATACTTAACAAACAGTTAAAGTCATAACTATAAAGTGATAATTCGCAGCCAGCCTAAATTTAGTGAAACGTGAAACGATTTAAAATATGGAAAGGAGTACAAATTTGAAATAAAAAAACTCATAAATTTTTAATTAAGCACCATACGAAGTAAGTTTGTGTACTTTTCTATCCATGCAAAGTCTGAATGTTGAGAAAATGCGAAAATAAATTTGCTAGATGATAAATACTCTCTTAGTTAAATCTGTCTGAATCATTTCAAGTTTCTCTAATCTTCAGCTACCAAGGCTTGGGAAATCAAACTTTTTCGAACAGTTGAGCAATGACAAAACAAACTCAACAATTGGGGGTACAAAAAGAGTTCAAAACACAAAAATCTTACAGATCATTATTTAATGTGTGCGTACTAGTGTATGTGTGAGTTAGTATGAGTACGGAAATTGTTTTCAACTGGTTAAGATTTTTATTACTTCTTTTATAGGTTACTTCAATGCAACCTGAATATGATCAGTAATCATAAAATATGCCACGTTTCAACACAACATATCGTATCTAAAACATCAAATAATAATACAAGTGATGGCCACAAACCTTTCTTTTGCTTTGTATTTTAACTTCAACATTGTCATCATTATAATTGCAGTAGATGACTTTTATTAGAAAATGTAAAATAATCTGGAGAGTAGCGATGTACGTTATTTTACGTTTTTTTATAAGACGGAAACTTATCCTCTCTGTCAGCTATTGCAGTTACAAGTAAACTCTTGCAATGCAGTCTGTGATATTTTTAATCAGTTACATCCAATCATATGCTTTGTTTTCATATTTCATCCAATCGATGGCTTCCATCAGATTCATTAAGAGACAAATGAGTGAAATTGCTTTGCTTCAGCTCCATAATGATTTTTCTAGTTAAAACAAGAACTATTCATTGAAACACCCTTTATTTATAATTCTGCGTTGGGCGTTGTTAGCCATATTAATGCATTAAGTTTGATTTGTCAAGCGTCTCCTTTGCCTTTGATTGGCTCGGTCTTTTGTTTGATTGAAACTTCCTTCAGTTCTTCTTTTCTATTTTATTTAATAGATTGCACTCACACAAACAGCTGGAGTACTGTAATGTTACAATGTGAATCAACATATTAATCATGCAACGTCGTTGTTATTTTTTTAACTTTGGCGAAGATTATGGTCACTTTGTTCCTTGTAATGTGTATACTATATTTTGTTTATTTTGTATGTTATAGATCGTTAAATGTCGATGATTGTCTATTCATTTAATAAAGAGTACAAAGTTCATTTGAGCAGAGACGTAACTAGAACGTTAAATTGGGGGGGGAGGGAGGGTGTATATTCATATAGTTAGTTGTGCCCTACTGATTTCTTTTGAATACAAAATACTTCAAAAGAAATTAGTATGGCCCGACGTAATATATGAATATACACCCCCCTCCCCCAATTAACGTTCTAGTTACGCCTCTGCATGCGAGGGAATTTATATTTACTGATAAACTTTTGCAAGAAGCAATTGTTTATTTGCTTTACGGTGAGAATATATTTGGCGATAAATACTTAGTCAGTAGCGTAGCCTGCCAGCAAATTTTAGTCTTGAAATGTGAATTTGAGGACACTATTATTATTCAATTTGTTATACGACTATAGTACGACTATAGCAGTGGACAAAACGGTGTGCAAAAGAATTTAACGGATAGGACAAAGTTGCTTATGCTGTCAGCTTGTAGGATTTGCAAAATCTATTGATGGAATAGATTGTTAGACTTCCAATGAATCATCTGACAGTAAAGTGTTTGTAAATAGTAACAATTTTAAGAATGAGAATTGTGTTACCGAGAAGCATTTTTGAAATAGATTGCGCACAAAAAGGACTTACTTAGAAAGCAATTTAAACTCATAGGGTTAAAATATGGCACATATTGTTCAAGCCAAAAAAGTTTTGCAAAATTTGTCAAGAACATAAAAGAACGCTTAGCAAATCTTTATTAATTATTCATATTTCATTCGTATTGTCCTTAGTTCAAAATTATGCATAATTCAGAACGAGTATAAAACAGCACTCAAAAAAATATTATATATTCAGCACGTTTAAACAACGAGCCATATTTTGAATCTGTGTGTTTTAATTGCTTTTTAAATGTCTCATTTTCGTGCGCAAGCTATTTTAAAAATTTTAGAAGGTAACACAATTCTCATTTTGAAAATTGTCATTGTTGGCGATAATGTCACTGTCAGATAGACCATTGGTCCAACTATTTCTAACAAACGTTTTTGCAGATCTTGCAAGCAGATGACTTTAGTGACGTTTTCCAAACTGTTCAGTTTTTTTGATAGACCTTGTAGTAGCTACGCCATTATAACTACCACAATCCCTGCTAATAAATTGATGTCATTTTAGTACTCAAATATAAATATGAAGAGTTAACAAGAAGATAAGAACATTGCAGGGTTTACGTATAATTTCACATTCTGTAAATATTTCATAAAAAAATAAAACATGTAACCAAGTTTTCACAGGCTTATGAAAATCATGGATACCTTTGAGAGAACTAGAGATCGAAGGTTGAGATTGATTTAATTGACAGTGATCAAATTGCTTTGCACACTGAGGCTATTATAAAACAAGCTAGTTCAATCAGTGCACGCGATTTATTTTTTCTTTTATAATAAAGAATCGGTGATCATCGAATTTGACTTAAACCCATTGTCAATTTTATCTTAGAATACTGGAAAAAATTAACTAAAAAGTTTGGTGTTAGCATAGACAAAAATGTGCTACAGTAATTTTATGTGTGTGAGTGTGTGAGAAATAGCCACAGTTTTTAAGAGTAGCTCCTGCGCATGTGCAGATAAATATCATTTGTTAAAAAATTTCTATCTTGCTGCATATTTTGGTTATCTTTTGGCCATTAGATGATAAGCAAATGACCATGGGGGTATAAGCTTTCAAGTGATAACCTTTTTATTGATAACGCCTTGTCATTCTCATGAAAGATCGTGGAGTCAATGATGATTTCAATATTCCATATGTTCAATGATTTTGGCAGTAGTGCATACTGCATGGTCTTAAGTTGAAGATTCCTCTCAATTTTGAGTAAGTCATTGATCATAGCCAAACGATGTACATTCAAATTTTTTTGACCCTTACAGACACAAGATTTGTTCAAATGTAATTAATTTCTCTTAAAAAAACACCAGCTGGTTCGTCTTTGCTGAGCTGACATTAAAGTACTCTTTTTTCATGCAGAGCAAAGCAAGTTCTAAATTTCAAACAACAGCTGTTGAGTACGATTGATGGATACAAGTCTCCCTGCTAATTGGCTATTGACTTGTGAGTTACCTTACTGTCGTGTTATTAAAGACAGAGAAAATGTGAAAGTAGTCACGTTGTTGCAAGGCCAAAATTCAAGGGGAAAGGTCAGCAAACTTGCATTTTACATACTGAAATTATTTAAACCAATATTCGTAAATATTTTTTAAGTACCTGTTTCAGTTATCGACCCTCTAATGAAAAAGGGAAAGAAGTAACTTGACAATTTGCTCCTGGATCTTGTCTATCGCTGACAGGGAAAGGTAATTGTTCATTTTATAAGACGGGTGACAGAAAGGATTACTTGAAGAGCCCTCCCTCCCAGTTTAGTTTAAGCTTTTGAATATTTGGGGAGTGATTTTCCATTATAAAAAACACTTGAGAAAAACGACGATTTTTTTGAAAGCAAACATGTTTCGACATTATCAGAACGCCATCTTCAGTGCAGAATGGTTAGTGTTAAGTAATATGATACGGAATATGATATGAATAAATTAATTCATATCATATTATCATATACTCTTCATCTACACTGAATAACATTCTGATAATGTCGAAACATGCTGCTAAAACTCTTTCTCAAGTGTTACAAATTGCTGCTAATTAGAAATTATGATTTTCCATTAGTTCTTTATGCCCAAAGTTGGGATTTGGCGTTTCACCTCACAATTTTGTTGATGCAATGAACGTCAAAAGGTTGACTCGTATTTATGAAAGCTTTTAAAGGAAATGTTTCGGTCAGTAACCTCTGAAAATATTTATTGGAATGCTGCTCTTTAAGAGGCATTCTTCTTTCTGCAGTTTGAACAATGCATGTGGCTTCTTAACCCTTAGTGGGATGTGTTTTTTGTTATATTTGGTCTTATTCCCAAGTAATCAATTTGGATTAATGTTGCATGTAAGTTGTCAATTGGCATGATGGCTGCCAGTACTAGTCGAATGCGTTTTCTAACCAATAAGAGCAATAAGTAATCTTATTAGATATGCATATGGCACCAAGTTTGGTTAGCACAGGCTAACCAAACACTACAAATTAGACTTTTGCATAACTAATCGCAAGTGACATTAGTAAAAAAATGTTACAGAAAATATCAGATAATTGTGCACTTTGCCTTTACTATGAGTACCATGAGATATAGACAGAATTATAGACAGACAGACATCATATGTGCAAAACGTTCAGAACTTACGTTTACTTCATAAAAGGAAAACAAGTCATTAATTGTTGGTGACCAACATTTCTTCTTGTATTTTTATCATTGAACTTAAGTGCGTGTAAGGATATTTATTGGAAAATAATGGTGACGTCACAGATGTGTTATTATTAAGTAAATTAAAAATTATGTTTTATTAGTGTTGCTAAAGATAATGGAAAAATACGTACATATGTGCATTAAAACGCAATAAATCACTGAGTACAGACTACGCAGGTAAGTTCCTTTCCATGAGTATATGGTGGACATGGTAAAGAACCACAATGGCCTTCAACAAGATACAATAATGCTCCATTTTTATCTTCATGAGATCCAAATTTTGCTTCTGGCTTGCCATCAACACAAATGTACTTAGATCGCTTGTGAGTATAATGTTCAGCCATTAAATAACCTTTGTATTCCATAGTCCATCCTGGAGGACAGATATTGTGCGCTGGAATCATCATGTGACTACCACGTGACTTAGCATGATATACAGCACATGGAGCATCTCGGTTGTGTAAGTTTGGATTTGGAAAGATATGTTTCTCAGCAGAAGTAATCTCGTATTCAGTACCATAAATGATTGCTCTACTCTGAGCGCCAGCAGCGTATTTCTCGTATATTGGATTCAATGGTAAACAGAGATAATTTGATCCACTCCCACCATGTGAATAAAATCTTTCCTTCACATTATAACTCATGCCTTCCCTTTGATGAAATCCTTGATAATTTTTTTCAAAATTTAAAATCTTGTAAAAACCTTTTTGTCTCAAATGTGTCCAAAACTTAGTTTTTACAAACATAGCTATGTACGTACTCTTATTTTTAGTGTAATTACTTCATCTTTTAAACATACCTCAATGTCTCACGAGTGTCATTTACCCGTTGCTTTCTCTTACTAAAAATTACAACGTCATCTGTAAGAATTGAAAATTTTATCTTTTCTCATAATCTCTTGTGTTCATCACCATAGTAAACAAGAATAAGCTCAGAGATGATTCTCTCTGTACTTCCATGACAAACTTAAAAAATCCATGCCTAAGTCACATGTCTTTTTGTCTTTGGCTTATCAAACACTTATTTTAGACAGCACTGATGGCAGTAGTATGAGTGTCATACAATTAATTTTTATTTTAAGATTGACTACCACATTCTAAAACACTTTATGGCAGTCATCAACCCATTGAAGTGAGATTTCTAGTTTTTCTTTTTCAAAGAAAAACAAATATGCTATTCTGAGGTAATAGTTAATTTTCCCAAAAAAGGGGCATGTTATCACTTGTATAGTACGCAAATATAATACGCAAAGAAAATTCAAATTGATAAAAACAATGTCAGTTTCTCAAAAAATAATGTTCAAGAACTACTGAATTGTTCTCTTTTTTTAAATTTTTTTTTCCAAATCTATTGGTAAGTTTTTCGACAAAAAAGCACTAACTTTGATTTTTTTAGTTCGTGAGCACCCCCCTCCCAAAAGAAAAATTATCGATGGATTTATGCTCCTCGCTTTTTACATATTTTCCATTTTAGTCCATTTCAGCTAGGATTAAAAGAAATTATAGAATCATAAGACTTTTTAAGCTGTTAAAATAATTTTTCAGCATTGCGTTATCTCTAATTAATCATACCGGGAGACAGCAATAAAACATGGGCAATTCATGCGCCTTCTACGTCGTCTGTAAGACTTTGTTTTGGGAAAGAACATGAAGTCAAGTACTTTATCCTAAACAATTTCATAGAACATAGCTAAAGAAATACAAAATAAGTCGCTAATAATTGCACCATTGTTTTTGACAATACTGTGACATGAACTTTGCCCCACAGAAATGTTACTGCAGGTACAGTTTTAAGTCAGATTAATATGAAATCTGTGCCAGATTTTATTTTCGTCGAATGATGTCAGCAATGTTGGAACTGAGTATTTTTGCTGTTTTCTGTTTACTAATATGTTTGCTTACAAGCTATAGGTTTTGCAATCAACCTCTATGTGCGCGTAAAAGCTGAAGGATTTATAAATGAAAAATTTTGTTGATCATCTGTGCAGTTCAGCTGATTGTTTCATGCCCACATGATATGGTTGTTTGCATATTAAAATTTAAGTGTACAAAATGCAGCATCTTTGAGGAAGAGTTTTATAATAAATGAATAAGATTCATTCTCAATTACTTGAGTGTTTTATGTTTTTGTTTATCCATATAATTATAACTATAATCGTTCATACTACTGAAAATATAGATTATAAAATGAAATTTGGGCTGCCTATAAATACATTAAATAGTGATGGCAAAATGCATGTTGAGAACATCAAATGCTTAAAAGCACAAATTATTTGCTGCAAAACGAAGTAGATTTTTTATAAGTTGAATTGTTGAGAGTCTTAAGAGACTAAATTCAGGCCTCAACATAAATTTGCCTATTTCTGTTCTATATTGTTCACTTTAGTTCAAATTGTTCACTCAATTTTGCAACAATTCCATTCTTTTTATTGCGCCGTTGGACAAAAACGACGTCATAGGCCAAAAAAAACTTTGACCCCCGCCTCACAAATTCTCATGGTGGCCCTGTTCTGTGTTATATTGAGATAAAACATCATTAAATATGACTGAAAGGTATAATAGAGTAGCTACAATGTTCATTAAATTTTGATGTTACTTTTACATATATTCAGTGTTTTAAATGTTGTTCAAGTGGTTTGAGAGACGATTTGGATGAGTAAAATTGAAGTACAAGAATTTCTGAAAATTTTTATTATTGGTAGTATAATTCGTATTCATGAATTTAAATGCGTTTTTCGTTGTTTTTGAATAATTGCACATACTATGTGAGATAACATATAGCACTATATGCTTGCGAAACGTTTTACTGGCTACAATTATGATCATTTTCAAATCTAAAAATGTAAGCAAAAGATGACAAGAATTGTTAAATATCAGTGGCGGATTGATAATTACGGGGGCCTGTAGACTAAGAAAAAGTTAAGGGCCTTTGAGCAATACCTGTTCCTCCCACTAAGTTCAGTTTTCTTTTGCTTTTCATTTGCTGTTAGTAACCCCATACGGTAAAAAATAGGAAGAGTTCATTTTAAAATTAAAACAAAATTTCAAAAATCATTGACATGGTCAGGGAAATGGGAAAAATGAGTTCTAAGCATTTAACATTAGAAAAGTAGATAATACGAAAGCCATTTTTTCTCTGCATTCAATTGCTCGTAAGGTTATAACAGCATAAATATTCATAATTTCGTAAAAGCACTATTGCGTCACTTTAATTAAACGTCAACTTTTTGAAAATAGACATGTTTCGACATCACATACCACAAACCAACATACACAGGACTTCTGACGAACTATTTTAGTTTCACACCACTTTCATACAAAACCGGACTTATACGCACACTAATCGACAGAGCATACAAACTTAACAATACGAACAATGGCTTTCAACGAGACATAAAAAACATCACATCCACTCTTTTACGAAACTCTTTCCCACTTCACTTTATTAACAGAACCGTAAAACGATATCTCGAAAACAAACAAAACAACAACCTCAAAATAGACACCGAAACTACTGACACGACGATCACAACCAACACAAATGAAAATTCCAAAATAACAACTCTATACTTCAAACTACCATACATCGGACATTACTCAAGACACACACAACGCAGACTTACAAACATTATAAAACGCTTCTGTACAGATATTGACATTCCACTAATTTTCACATCATTCAATATCAAAAACCTTTTCTCATTCAAAGATCCAATCCCTGATTCAATTAAATCTATAGTGGTATATGAATTCAATTGTAGTTCCCAAAACATTGGCGAAACTTCGCGCCATTTATCCACCAGAATCAGGGAACATACCACAACAGACAAAAACTCTCATATCTACCGACACCTTCTTAAATCTCACTCATGTAAAACCAACTATTCACCCTCTTGCTTCAAAATCATCGACACTGCCGACACCTCATTCACCCTTAAAATCAAAGAAGCACTCCACATTAACAAAACTAACCCTGACCTCAATGTTCAAGTTTTTAAATTCAATACAATATTTAGTTTATAATACGCTCGGACCCTCCTCATTAATTTATCTTATTTCCTTTTTATTGTTGTAATTTATGTATCATATTACTTTTATATAAACCTTGTATCACCTATTATTTTACTCATACTCATGATGGCATCATGAGATGTCGAAACATGTCTATTTTCAAAAAAGTTGTCGTTTATATTAAATGAGCATAAGGTATCTAAGTTAAGCACATTTAGCTAGCCCAGAAAGCAAAACGTTCAAATCCTAATTGTGTCCAGATACAACGGGCCTTTCGAAGGCCGGGCCTGTAGGCTTAAGCCTACTCAGCCTATACCAAGCATATTCAGTTTATACTAAGCCTACTCAGCCTTTACTAAGCCTACTCAGCCTACTCAGCCTACTGGATAATTCCCCGGTAAATATACATTTTCAGTTATTATTTAGCAATACACTCAAGGGAGCCATTGCTAAGTTTTTGCATGTTTATTTTATCCACGACAGAAGTTAATATCAAACCAATGCAGTTTTTCGTATCTAATATAAACTAATAAAAAGGTGTGGTTGTAGCTAATGTTTATAGAAATATAAAACATATCCTTTCTGGAAGAAATATTGAAAACGTCTTAAGCTTTGCAAAGTTTGCATGTTTCCAAAACAATTTTCAGTCACTGAGTACAGACTACACAGGTCAGTTCTTTTCCATGGAAATATGGTGGACAAGGTAAAGCATGACCACAATGGCCTTCAACAAAATATAGCAATGCTCCATTTGTATCTGCATGAGATCCATGCATTGCCTCTGGTTTGCCATCAACACAAATGTATTCAGATCGCTTGTGAGTATAATGTGCAGCCATTAAATAACCTTTGTATTCCATAGTCCATCCTGAAGGGCAGATATTGCGCGCTGGAATCATCATGTGACTACCACGTGACTTAGCATGACATACAGCACACGGAGCTTCGGTTGTTTAAGTTTGGATTTGGAAATATATGTTTCTCAGCAGAAGAAATCTCGTATTCAGTACCATAAATAATTGCATTACTCTGAGCACCAGCAGCGTATTTCTCGTATATTGGATTCAATGGTAAACAGAGATAATTTGATCCACTCCCACTGTGTGAATAATACGATCCCCCAATTGCTCCTGTTTATAAAAATAACACAGTAAAAAAAAGTATCTTTACCTGTCGCTATTAACAAAAATTTCTAACAAATTATTGTAAACTTGTATCAAATAGAAATGATTTAATTTCTTTTCAACTTTCAGGAAGCATAAAAACAGTAATTTTAGTAATGAGCATCGCCATTTTCCCGAAATTATTTTAGTTAGTGTATATTGGTAAATGATCAAAAACAAATGAAATTAGTTTGAAGATGCTAAAGAATTTTAAGTCATGAAAGAATACTTTCTTACCAGAATAAATCTCAGCAGTTTTTGTGGTGTTGGGACAATGTTTTCTACCCCATCTGGTGTAAATCACCCCACCGGTTGACGTGGTATCACCTTTAGGTCCTGGTGGACCTGCTGGACCAGGTTTTCCCTGATCACCGCGCGGACCTTAAACGAAATTGTAATGAATTTTAAGTATGAGATTTCAAATATAAAAAGCCCAGTACCTGTGGTTTTATCTTTGCTCAACTGTGTCACTCCAAACGAAATCTTTGCATCTTTTATTTTGCATTTTCCACAGTTATAGTAAATTGTGATCATAAATTTTGTTAATGTTATACGTAGTAGCTGATTACGTTACGTGATTACTTTTTATGTTGTGAAGTCGAAGTACGACATATTAGCACTTAACATGAAAATATAAGAATGTTACCATCCACCTGCCCCTATCTCATTTTCTTTACTGCAGCTGTCTCCAGTATTGCTTCTCTCACGACAGTTCTGTACACCTTTCCTTAAATTCTCGCTGATCCACTAATGTGCATCATTTAAAATCCATTTATTTCTCTCTAACTTTTTAAAATTTTTCTCCTTATACCCTCCCAGCACTAATTTGATCTCTCTAGTTCTATCTTGCTTTGACAAATTTCATCTTAGCTTTTCTTTACTTCGGAAGAGTTGCCTCCACCAGCTTCTTATACACTCAATTTAATTGCAAACATCCTAGTCGATGGAAACTGCACAACCCTCATTTTTCTTCCAGCACATTGCCATAGTAGTTCACAAAAAGCTGATGGTCAATTTTTATAGAAAATAACAATTTATTTTAAACCACCTTTTGTCTGCATCACACTTCAAAACTTTCTCTCCTTCATTGATTTGGAATAGTTTAATTTGTATGTACAGCTTGTAGACAGACAGCACATATGGCTTTTGTTCCTTTTGACCAATCTGCTGTAGGAGTCATACAACTAATTTATTTATTTAGTTTGGCATGAAAGATTTTTATGTCGATTATTCTTAATGAAACACTTCTGGTTTCGTCCAACTGCAACTTTTTTATAAAACGTAGAATGTGATTTGGCCTTCTAAAGAACGGGCACAACTGAATATATAAATATACACCCAACCACCCCCTAACAACCTTTCTAGTTACGCCTCTATGTGTGACTTATAATCCACAACCTACATTTAAAGCTAATGGTAACTGTATTATCTTGTTTTTAAACGTACAAACTGTCTAAAAACAAATTTTTGCAGCAATTGCATTTCTTAATTGCTCACATCCAGCATCATTCATATACAAACTTTGTCTTCCTTTCTCAATAATTTTTGTATTAATTCACATTTTTGCTTTAAAAGTGCTTTTGCATCGTTTATATGCTAGTGAATACTCTATCTAAATTGGTAAACTAATAAAATAATACACGTAGCTATCAATGGAACATTCTTTAATATGCCAGTAACCATAACGCAGTTGATTGTTGTTGTACTTTGCTTTGCAATACATTAAAAACAATTGTCTTGTTGAGCATTATAAATCGGCAAAAGTGTATATAAAATTGGCAAAAAATGTTGTCTTTATCTAAGAGAATTCAAACACATTGCTTACTTTACTGTTGTAAACTTTATTCTGATATTCTGAGATTTCCTTTATATTATAAAGGATCATCGGTCATAATAAAGTTGCTCTGGTTTTATATTGATACGATTATCTAATATTCATCAAAAAATATTTTTAGGTGGATGACATTATGTGCACTTGAATTAACATGTTCTCCTTTATGGTGATCGCATGAATTATCCAGAAAATAACAGAATTTTTTTGAGGAATAAACCCTGTTGACAGCACCTGTTCATCTACTCTTTCAAATCAAATCTGCTTTTCAGTGCTCTTTTTTTGGCCGATAACTGTTAGCTGTTCCGTTCAACGCTAACTGAAACTATTCATCAGTTGTTAGGCACTCGCTCTTCCACAAATTTTCAGCCTCCATTAGGCAGTATTTTAGTTTGTAAAAACTGCTGGTATGCTCATTAACTTTAATTTGAAGCTGTTTCATTATTGATGAATTTGTTAACACATTGGTATCTCGTATTAGTTATTGATACATCTATCACATTAAAATATTTGACCCAAATATAAGGGGTGCATACAGAATGAAGACATATAAAGAGCTTGTATCATAAACTGCACAAACTGTCATAATATTTCTTTACAGAATGCGAAAGTGTTAATTACATCAAAATTCAAAAAATTATTTGCTTGTCCTCTTAACATAACTCATCAATAAATTACAGTCCTTTTCATTAAAAATTAAAATTTTATTGTTACTCTGTTGAAAAATTGTGTAAATAAGATTATGTATAGTGCCCAGGCAAATACACTTTTAAGTCTCAAAGTTAAATTTGAAAGGACAGACCTTTAGTATAATGCTGAAATCTGCAAACAAGCTATAGATTTGCGATGCTTTGAAGTTAGTTTGTTACTGTCTATTGTTCAAAGTCATATCATGTTGTATTCTATATTACAGTTACAGTCTGTTGTTCTTAGTCACAACACATATGTATTCTATATCAAATATCAGATGCAATTTAGATCAACGATAATGCCCTCTACACATGTCCTTTAACTGATTAAACACTGTCTCACAGTTCTCCTGATGGCCCTTTAAATATGCCTTCTTAGACTCAAATTTTGATATTTTTGTATTGTATTTACAGAAAGTTCAGTACGGTTACTTCATCGACCAGTAAAGTTCTTGGTAAAAAACAACTGAATCAAAGGAAACTCATGCAGATATACGTAACTAGGTTTAGTCCATATGGCAAGAGAAAAGTTTCTAATAGTTAATAAAATAACTTACCCCTGTAATGTAGCATCGCGGCCATCACGCCCTAAATAAAAATATCAATTTAACTTGTTTTCAAGAAATTATAGTCAATTACTCATTAATAAAGCTACTTCGTTTACGTCGTTGTGGTAGTTATATATTTAAAAACTAAACAGTTTCGATCACGACTTGTTAAAGTTAAGTAAATTATAACTCACCATCCCTGCCCGGAAGTCCAGGAGGTCCTTGACAAGCTGTTGCTTTGCGATTCTGTCTCTTAGAAATACTTGTGCTAAAATTAAGAACTTAATTTTTTAAATGGATGCAATAAGGCTCTGAAACAGACAGCAAGCCTATTGAGGACTTCATTTTAATGTGCATACTTATAACTGATTATTCTTCTCCTAAGAATAAGGCCAAAAAAAGAAAATAAAGCTTATCTCCATCACAAGATGAAAAGATCTATCTTCAATTTTTGACTATCTATGTATTTTCCATCAATTTAATAATATCATTTATAATCTTATAATGTATAATATGACACAATCACAGGCTACATAACTTGACATGACAATTTACAATAGTAGTCATCTTTAGAGAAAAAGTAAGGAGTAAACGTCAGGCTAGCCGTGTTGGTAGTTGTCTTGTTCATAAGCAGAGGTGGCACCAGAGGGGCGACTACAGCTATTTCACGATTTTTCGAAGAATGAATAACGAAAAAATGTAATTTCCAATGTCGATTATTTCCTTTCGTTTAAAGTAATATGAGCACTCGGTATCGGCAATAATCTTCATACATGTCAGCTATCCGACATCAAATTTAAAGCAATAATAAAGTTACTCTGAAATACTTATTTTTGAATGTTCATTAGAAAACAGAAATGAAAATGCGACATGAGAAATATTTGCATATGCAATCGCACGACGCTTGCCCGCTATTAGTTGTCTGTCTGTTGTGTTTTGCAACTTGACTTTCGAATTTTGAAAGAATATTTTTTGTAAAAAAACTTTGCTGTTTGAGTTTCAAACGAGCAATGAGCATCAGATTCTGACAGTTTTACATGTATTGCAGATAGTGCCATTGATAAATCACCATCAAGCGTCTGGACAGCTTAGGATGTTAGGAATTCATTGTGGTGAGGGAGCAAACTGGATTTTGCTACCGTAATGAACAAGTTGAATGCTAGCTTTCCTAAGAGTAGAATTGTTCTCTGAACATCAAACAATCAAATCGAATGATTCACCGAAGTTATATCTTACTCGTACATTATTAATAATGCCTCTTATGCCTATAAATTATTTCCTTGTACACCACTGATTCATTATATACATGCAGTCAAAAAAAACTGCCAACCAGCAAAATAGTTTAACATGCAGGGTAACATTGAGATAAAGTGCCCAAACTTAATATTTAAGTTAAACAAGAAACAAATAATAGTATATCTAATAAGTAATGTATCCTCGTCTTACTTTCATTAAAGCTTAGTATATATTTATAAAGCTTTGACGAAGATAATTATTATTTGATTATTACTATTTAACATTACAAGAAAACCCAGGGCATTCATTTTACTTATTGTATAGCTTTGTTATAACCAATCATATGTATATCCCTGGATTGCATGCACGACTAGCAGGTCTGTTAGTACAGCGATGATAGGTGGAGGTATTCATATATTCAGTTTTGTCAAACTGACTTCTTTAAAAATTAAATTTCTTTCCAAAAAAATCAATTAAGCACAACTAAATATATCAAGAAACCACCCAAAAAACAACCCATTCCCCAAATTAGCGTTCTCGTTGCGGATGTAAATTATTATTTCCAAAACAAACTATATGTTTCAACGATATGGTCAAAGCGAGGATTCATAACTATTTTTAAAAGTTTTGCCCGGAAAATACATTTGCATGGAAAGCGCATAGTCACATCGGCCTAGTAAGTCAGCCCCACACGTTGGAGACCTTAACCCATCCGTCCAGGACCTTAGCACCTCCGTCGGGGGAATTCCTGGCGCCACCTTTGTTCATACGTATTCGTATTGTGCTTAATTCCTAACCTCAAACAAACGAACGACTACCACTAAGATTATCAAAACGTAAGTCAACATTAACAAGATTCAAAGTTTCACTAACCTTTCTTCAATTTGGTTTTGAAAGTTTGGCATATCAATTTTTTTGTCATCTTTTAATGTGCAGTTGACAAATTGCACATTAATTGAAATCAGAACAAAAGTTACTAGAACAACAAGTTTATTTTTCATCATTTTGGGTATTCTTAAACAATGAAAATTCACTAACTCTGCTTAGGCATACAGTTGCAAGTGATGCTTCGTGATTGATTTTTTTTCTTTTTATTATCAGTTTGCCCCATCACATGATTCATTTCTATAATTCAACCAATGATCAGCTACAAACAAATTTATTCACACACATTATAAGCCTACTCAGCTTATACTAAGCCTACTTAGCCTATAATAATCCTACTCACACTATACTAAACCTACTCAGCTTATACTAAGCCAACTCAGCTTATACTAAGCCTACTCAGCTTATACTAAGGCTACTCAGCTTATACTAAGTATACTCAGCGTATACTAAGCCTGCTCAGACTTTACTAAGCCTACTCAGCCTATATTTAGCCTACTCAGCCTACTGGATAATCCGCCCCTGGTAAATATACATTTTCAATTATTATTGAGTAACATACTCAAGGGGAACCATTGCTAAGTTGTTCCATGTTTATTTTATCCAGAAAAGAAATTGATATCAAGCCAATGTAGTTCTTCGTATCTAATATAAACTAATGAAAAGGTGTGGTTGTAACTAATGCTTATAAAAAAATAAAATATATCTTTCCGGAAGAAATACTGAAAAGCGTCTTAAGCCTTGTAAAGTTTGCATGTTTCCAAAACAATTTTTGGTCACTGAGTACATACTACACAGGTCAGTTCTTTTCCATGGAAATATGGTGGACAAGGTAAAGCATGACCACAATCGCCTTCAACAAAATATAGCAATGCTCCATTTGTATTTGCATGAGATCCATGCATTGCTTCTGGTTTGCCATCAACACAAATGTATTCAGATCAATTGTGAGTATAATGTTCAGCCATTAAATAACCTTTGTATTCCATAGTCCATCCTGAAGGGCAGATATTGCGCGCTGGAATCATCATGTGAGTACCACCTGACTTAAAATGACATACAGCACACGGAGCATCTCTGTCGTGTAAGTTTGGATTTGGAAATATATGTTTCTCAGCAGAATTAATCTCGTATTCAGTACCATAAGCGATTGCTTTATTTTGAAAACCAGCAGCGTATTTCTCGTATGTTGGGTTCAATGGTAAACAGAGATAATTTGATCCACTCCCACTGTGTGAATAATGCGTTCCCCCGATTGCTCCTGTTTTTCATAAAAATATGCTTTAGAACTGCAACTAATGAATACGACTACTAGGTTTTTACAAGAATATAGGTTATGATACAAATGTCCATTCGCGTATATTGCGTCGAACATTTACACTCAAAAAGACATATGACAGCCCAGTTTTACGTTCTGAACGCATAAAAAATGTTGGACAACAGTCTTCTGATATTTTCTGAAGAATATCGTTGCAGGATTTGCCTGGTGACTTAATGGTACCATACTGAAATTAGTATGTTTGTATATATTAGTGTTAATATCACGTCTCGTTGAATATATAATTTTTGAATAGTTTCAAAGATATTTGCTTACAAACGAATTTCAGAATTTCGGAATTAATTATTAACTCTACTAATTAATCAACTCTCAAAGACAAGTCAAATAAAAAAAGAATACTACTAATAGAATGAGAAATAAAAATAGTCATTATTAAACATGATAATAAGCCCTTAATAACCGAATTTGAGGTCTTTGCGGAGACATAACGGATCGAGGTGTTTTTGTACAGACTGAGCCCGTAGGACGAGGTTTGTACAAAAAGACAAAAGGCTGATATTTCTCAGTAAAGACAGAAAAAGCGAGGTTAATAAAAGGTTTATTATATGGCCGTATTTGACATGAAACGAAGCTTGCTTTGTTTCTCGTCTTGGCTGTTTTGTGCGCGTTGGCTTTCACTTTTTATAGTTTTCGTCAGTAAAAATCAAATTGTTTCAAACTGTATCGTCAAATTGTACGATGTTTGTTTAAATTAATGAAATTGAATGAATTCAAATGTTATAATTGTGTTGATGCATGTCTATGAAAGTTTGCCGAAATCACAGGATCACGCGAGCGAAACCATAGGCAAGCCATCGGCGAAACCATCTTCTCTATAATTTACCGTCCCTTGTGTAACTATGTTGCTATCTTATAAATACAATGATGTCAGTGGCGTACCTGCCACGAGCAGAGCCATGTGCACCCAAGCTATCAGCTTGCCAGGAGGCACCCTGAACGGTGTTATGAAAATAAAGATAAAAATTGCTTTATCAACAAATTCTTTTATGTTTTAAGTGTATCTGCTTTTCCTTAGCAATTCCATTCCACCCTAGTTTTTCTTTGAAATAAATATCATAAGTAGACTTAGATAGACATATCTTAGAAAGACATGTTGAGGTTTCTGAGTGACAAATGTGGTTCCTATTTTTTGAAGACAGCCTATAGAATGTTTGCATGTGACGTCGAAGCGGCCATGTTGGGGAGTACATCATAGTGCTGATTCTCAACAGAGAATGAAATTAACTAAAATTCTTTTCATTATATAAGATCATTCATTTATTGCGCATACATCACAAAACTCCCTTGAAAGAAAGAACTAAAAACAAATTCTGTCCTCATTCAATTTCATATTTATTTGATAGCTATTGCAGTAGTTTTAACCTTCATGCAAAACATAAAAGTTTACAAGGAGCTTAGTTAACTATTGTTAAAACTATCAAGCGTCCAAGTCCTATACAAACCTCAGCGCCAGTATAATTCCAACTGGGATAAGTATCATGCCTAAATAATAAATCGCCGAGTATCGAACAACATTTTCTGCGGTTCTGGTGTTCAGCGAAACCACAACATATAAAATACAGATAATGATCAGTGGAATGATACAAGCATTTAGAAGCTGCAAGATCGTTTCTCCCATATCGAGACATAAATATCCTATAAAGATAACAATATCTTTCCATTCATCGACGATAATAGGATTATTTTGAACAAGGCTACTAAAGAAATGTCCCATTATGAAACAACAACCGCCGAGAAGGATTACTACGACAATGTTTTGGCCCTTATTCACTCGACCACCAGATAAATCTACAATTACGCCAGCTTTGAATAGAGAATACACATATAAGGGCAACTTGCGTTGTTAATCTATGATGTTAGTGTGGAGCCCAGACATTGAACACCATGAATAACTTTTAATTCAGTTCACTGAGCTCAGATTGTTTTGTGCATACCAGAAGTCAAACAGTGGCAATTTTTAAAAGCAACGAAACTGGAACGATAACCATACAGGGGTTTATATCAATAGGTGTAACGACAACCTAAGTCTACGATGTATAACAATTTTTATGAATTTACTACAGCATCTGAAAAGCTTCAGAAACATTAAAAAAACCAACGGCAACATTCAAAAATTTCACAGCTACATTTAAAAATACGGCAACATTTTAAAATTTCACGGTAACGTTTGAACATAAAAATCTCACGGTTGAATTTCAGAACCAAATTTTTACAAGATAAATCAAAAACTATCTTTTTTATAGTTTATCCAGGTAAGACTACAAAATTTAGATACGTCTTTCCTCCAAAATTACTACGATACACTGAGTTACTGAGTACATACTACACAGGTCAGTTCCTTTCCATGGAGATATGGTGGACATGGCAAAGAAAAACTACAATAACTTTGAACAAAATACAGAAATGCCCCATATTTTTTTGTATGAGATCCAAATATTGCCTCAGGCTTGCTATCAACGCAAATGAACTCGGATCGCTTATAATAAGCATATTCACTCATCAAATAACCATTGTACTCCAAGGTCCATCCTGAAGGGCAAACATTGCGCGCAGGAATCATCATGTGACTACCACGTGACTTAGCATGACACACAGCACACGGAGCATCTCTGTCGTTTAAGTTTTGATTTGGAAATATATGTTTCTCAGCATTAATAATCTGATATTCAACACCGTGAATAAACCCAGTACTCTGAATACCAGCAGCATATTTCCCGTATATTGGATTCAATGGTAAACAAAGATAATTTGATCCACTACCACTGTCTTTATAATATGATCCTCCCATTGCTCCTGTTTTTCATAAAATAATACCATAAACTATAGAACTACGACTACTTGATACAACTAAATGATTTTTACAAGATATCTATATATGTACTTATGTCCTTTATGATACACGTGTATCTTTTGCACATGTTCTTTTAAATTGCGTCAAACATTTACAGTTGAAGCTATTACACTCTCTGAATGCATAAGGACTCTGCCTAGCATATGTCATGAATCTCTCATGCATGGTTTACATAGGAAAAATAAACATAAGCACAAGCGAAAACAAAATTAAAGCTGCCTCCCCTTTTCCCTTCACAAGGAAGTTGTAATATTGAAAAGTTAAGGAAATTTTAGCATTAGTCGAGCAAAAGAATACGGGAGAAAGAAGATATTACATGCTATTTAATTTCAAGATATCTGTTACTTGATTGTGAGTTGAGAAAAACATTTCCCACCACGGAAATGATAGCTCCCGCATATGTCTATAGCATATATATGACATAAACATCAACAAAAGTGCAAGTATGAAGAATAGCTCTATCAAAAATTGGGAACAATTGAAGGTTTTAAATATGAAAGCCGATTTCTTTGTCCTTGTAAACCTCACGAAAAAAAGAAACAGGCGTCTTTTGCTTATTTTACTCTTTTGAACCGCAACTGCTAAATGATGAACAACGATTGCGTGGATTTTTTCAATAACTATTTCTTACCAGAATAAATTTCAACAGTTTTCGCTGTATTAGGACAATGTTTTCTTCCCCATCTGGTATAGACCACTCCACCGGTTGACGTGGCTTTACTTTTAGGTCCTGGTGGCCCAGCTGGACCTGGTTTTCCCTGCTTTCCACGAGGACCTTATAATATTTAACTTTAATATTATCAACTATTGTAAATGATCACATTTTGAGTATTCAATACTTTATGAGTATGAAACACTTTAATCTTTTAAAAGCTTCCAATATAAATTCTATGTCCCATTAAATATTTAACTATGTAAGCCTATATGGATAATGGATGCTATATTATATTACATGTCTTTGTTAGCTCAAAAAACGTTTGCTTCTGG